ACGCAGATCGTTATTGTGTAATATTACTAAGTAGTAGGGCTGTATTTGTTGATGCTGACTTAACGACCTCATCGACGTTACGTGCTTACTACCATTCCAGTATATCAAAAATTAGTATACCCTGTAACGATAACTCACCAGAGGCAAAAATCAGAGTGTCAATTTTTTTTCTGTAGTTAGAGCGACTAGAAACAACAAACTCTTCGGTGTATCTATTTTATACGCCTGCTTATCGGTACTTCAGTTTTTTTTTCTTTTTATAGTCACGTAAACATTATGAACAAGAAAATGCGCCCTGCTAAGCATACAAGAGAAATAATGAATCATCATAGTAAAAAATAGATTTTTGAAAAAAATATAGCACTTTGAATGAACACAACATTTAAGATGGTATCTGGATGGGGGACGTCGAAAGCAATTTGAAGGAACCCGATCAACACATGTCTCTCGAGTACGTATAGCGGAGGGAACATGGAGGCAGCCAAAACCGCTGCCGCCTTCGCGGCGACCACGGAGCCATAGGTATTAGGCCTACCGTACGCTCCTTACGCGATTACCATCATTTCCACGTTGTCAGTTGACGGCTAATTACCATTCATTGGGAAAACTAAGGGAACAATCAGATGTCGATGCCTTAATTAAGCGGATAGGCAAACTTCGAAAAAAAACGGTATCTGTCTGACGATGTATCTTGCACTTGGACGCATTTAAATTTTGAGCGCTAGAGATCCAGTACCATCGTGTCTTCTAGTACTACTACTGGCACTGCTACGCTGGCTATATTTGTCTGGCCGATGGGTAAGGCTCGCTGGTTGGCTTACTGGCTAATAAGCGGATAGACACCGCCTAATCGCCGTGGAACGACCCTTTTCAGGCCTGCCGTTCGGTAGCAGCGCGAAACTTCACGATTTTCACGAGAAATGAACGCTAAATAATATATATATACATATATATATATATGTATATATATATATATATCCGTCACAGAATTACATACATATGCACGCACGCTCATTCGTAAGGACACAACAAGCTGCCGGGCTTCCGCCACGTTATTCTCGTTGATTTATTATTATTATATATATATATATATATATATAATAATAAATCAACGAGAATATATATAAGCAAAGACCGCGTATCACCACAGCAACGAATAGACGCTTATGTCAAATATTAAAGAAGAGTCATTTCTGTTAGAGGTACTCGTACAAAAACCAAGTACTGCCACCTATGATGTATAGGAACAAAGCGATAGCTGTACGTTTTTTACTCATACTTTCTGGTGCATTTATTGTAGATGACGTAAGGCTTATAATAGAAAATTTACAGACAGCTGTGTTAACTGTGAACATTTACTTTTCATATCTATTATGTTATACGGTATTGTTCTTACCAGATTTCCCAGTGTTTTTTTTTTTTGCCCATACGATCTCTTGCCTTTTATTCGGCGTTTAATGTGATGAAGCATATGGTGCATACTCTACAAATCACAGTACCATGTCAATTATCTCCGCCATTCGAGATTTAAATGCGTCCAAATACAAGATACAACAAGAATACCCTCCTGTGTTAGGTTTTCCCATTTTTTTTTCAAAGTTTACCTATAAAACAAGCTCCGTTACGGGACTCACTTATTTCTCCCCCTGCTTACTTAACGCATTTACATCAGACTTTTCCATTAGTCTTCACAATGAATGGTAATTCGCCATCAAGTGATAGAGAATGTAACGTACTCAACATCACCGAGCGGATAAACTCTAAATTGCCATTGTCAGCAACTTTAACTATCGTCAATAGTGCGAAAAAGAGGAGTGTTTCCATCTTCAGCTTCAAACCCTTTTACACGCCGTGAGGTGGCGCAGATTCCTTACTTCATCTATTTATACAAGTCGTGTAATATGTATTGTTGGCCTGTGGTAATTTTTGATCGGCTCTGATTCCACTTGTATTACGTTCATTCTTTTTCTGGCTTTTTTTCTACGTAATATGTCGTTACTGCTGTCACTAGCGATGCCAACGTCATTGGAACCACTGGCATAATCACTCCTGTCTAATTAGCGCGCTCACTGCTAATAGACATCCACTTAATTTTGTTAGTTCTGCCATTTTGGGCTAAACGGCGGACGGCTGAGCCTCACGACGTCGTCAAGGCCGGTCGCCTGCTGCCTGACCCAAGGTCCATCCACGAAGCTTCTGGATAGGGCCGAAATCACCTACACGCTTTCACTGACCTTATTCATTTTGCCTTCTCGACGCGACGATGTTGCCCGAGCGACCCCAGTGGCAGACAGTTCCTTTGAGAGAGGCTCGTTTAAATATCTAAATCTTTCACTGAAGTATCGCAGTGGCAGTTATTGTTGGAAATGCTACTGTTCATTCAACGATCGCAGTAAGTTTGCAGCATAACAGGAATCAGCCTTGTATAGGTGCAGTTTTATGTGGCTTTACTGCTTTTCAAGGAGTAGCATCCATCGATGAAGTTAGAACATCCATCTTTTACTACGAGGAACACCGTGTGATGGATGCAGTTCTTTTGTCGGGTCACTTATAGGTCTCGTGCGCTCGCTTTAATCGTTTCTTTTATAACTAATGTGATATTTTTCCACTGAAGAGACCATCTATTAGCGTTCGCCCACGTATAGTGGGCAGAGCAATATTAGAAAAAAAAGCTATTACCATTCACTGAAATCGACGGCAGCAGCAGTAACGAACGCAAACATCGCACGCTTACCATTTAGCTGTCAAGTGTCAACTGAGTATTGACGTCGCTGTTAGGCGGTCGGCCAGCTAATGATTCGACACCTGGAGACGGTAACTGCTATACACGGCAAGAAATACGTTATAGCCACTATGTCTTCCGGTGCCGGACAAATATCGCCATTGCCTGTGATCACCGTCGCCGGTTTCACCAATTTCTGCGCTTATGGCCAACAGCCATTGCTCGGAGTAACGGAAACCTAGAGGGGAATCTTATCAAGTTCACTAGCCAACCTTAGCTGCTACGTATTGCTCTCCATCTCCTCTTGTTTCCTCCAACTGGTACTGCTGCAACCCTGTTTTGTCGATTTTTCCTGCTGCCGATATGGACCGCCCGCTATGGAATATCGTGGCAGTAGTGCTCAGTAGAGCTTAATAACGTCTTGACTGGGTCGACGTAAATACTCTGTGATATAGTTGCGCTGTCGTCGATCGCTGCCGTTTTTATTGGATCGCTACCTGCATAGCCTTTACACCTGGCTACTTACTGCGAGCTTTCTTCGTGCCAATGAAACTAGTGAACGAAGGAAAACCATACTCCGTAGATAGATTCAAATCCGACGAACGCTGACGCACGTGGATCGTTTCTTAATGAGTAGCAGGACAAAGATAATCGTAGTGGACGACCGTCTTGTCGGCTAGAAAGGTTCAATGTTAACCTAGGTTGTGATGAACAGGCAAAAACTTGATCTAATCTAGTTGGAACTTGTGTTTATGTTGCAACGTTCGATGCGTTAATGGAGAGATAGAATTATTGCTAAGTTAGGAAAGCTGTCTAACTTACAAGTTGAGCTATGCGTGTGTGTTTGTTAGTGCAAACGCTCGAACGCTGAATAAGGTGTAAGGGTGCGGCGTCATCGCAGCTGTTATTGGGAAATGCGTAATACTGTAAGTGATTAGCCGATGCCATTCTGGAACAACCACCTGGTGCGCTATGCACTTAGAGGATTTACGTTTTTGAGGAACGGACATAACGAAAACATGAAGGTTGATGGTATAGAAAAGATGATCTTCGCGCCGCGCCGTCCCCCGGACGATCCCAGTCTGGATAGCCTATGTCCGTTTCGGATAGATCTATTGTTGACAAAGCTGATCGTGTTGTGTTTGTGTAACCTGTTGCTTTTAATTGTCTGGAAACTATGTTGCCAGCGTCATCGTAGACGCGAACTCGCTGGCCAAGATCTATCAGCCCGTGTAGGCGATCGAATTACGATTAGCACTGCAAGAACAGTTGGTGCACTGCTGCAACAGCAGGTGGCGGCCAATTCAGTAGGAGATAATAGTGCACGCTGCGGAATCGAGGTGCAGCCGCCTGCTAATGTCTTTCTACCGGCTAAAAGAGTTAGCAGGTCGAAAAAGCGCCGAATGCGAGAAAATCCTGCGCCGAAACAGATGTCTGCTAATGTTAAGAATGGTAAACACGCATTGGATGACGGCAGTAAAACTAGCGGATACTGTGGATGGACGCTTGTGTTAAAAAGAAAAATCAAATTGAAAAAACAAGACACTTCAGCTAGTACTCAAATAGAGGCAAATGGCGCGCAACAGCAGATCCAAGAACAACCATGCCAGGAGTGTTTTGAGCACGGTTCTTCTGAAGGTGGTGTGAAACTAAAACCACTGGATGCCCCTTTATTGGCGCGAGAATCGATTGGTGACAGTAAACTTAAATCGCCTGAAGTGGCCTCAACAAGTGGACTGTTAACTTCAAGTGAGCTCGTTGAATCTGTCTTAAATCTACGTCTGGGTTCGGTCGATAAAGGGCCCTCCGTCACGCAGGAACGCGGGATTACGGGTTCGTCACCACTTTCTGTGCTCATTGATAACGAAACATGATTTCTTAGAATGATCTTCGTTACATAGGGAAACGCTTGTATTTTTTTAGCGGTATTTGTTTGTTCGGGGTTAATGCGAACATAAGTGTTATCTACCGTGAGCAGGTCTGGGAGGATAAACCGAGTATTGTAAAAATCCAAACGTTTTCGAAGCGCATCTGTGAGTTGTGATTAGTCGATGTATTTGATAGGCTTCACTGTAACGTAAAGCGATGTCTGTGTCCGAGATGAGTTACATTACGTCTATCCGAGTTGATTTATCAAGCAGTCCGATGTAGCACGAGCCAAACAGGGACAGAAAAAACGACTGTTTTTTTTTTTAAAACTGTGCGATCATTCGGTCGGTCTAATCTCGAATTTAACGATTACGGATCTCTAACAATAAATACGTTTGCCGATTTTCAGATGAAAGAGATGCAATTCAGAAGAAGACGTTCACGAAATGGGTCAACAAGCATCTTGCCAAGGTGAGCGTTACGCAAAAGCATGAAATATTATAAAATCAAGGAAGTGTTTGTGTCTCAATATTGATTGAATTACAATGTAAATTTTTTGGCTAAAGAAACTTAAGAAAACAGTATTTTACATAGAAGCACAGCGTGGACAAGTTACAGAGGCGTTTAGATTACATTTATATATTCACACTTGTATGCACTGAGTGGTTTGACGACATTGGTAAATATCATTAGCCAGATCAGCTATAACCTACACAAAAACACAGATGGATGACGAATCGTACAAAGAGATATTTTTTGATCCGGTATGTGCATTACCTGGGATTGGGTTTTTTACATTGACATAATATGCGCCTATATAAATACAAACATGCCCAGCTTCCATTTATATTGAAACAGGGAACATCGATTTAGCAAACGCTTTGGTAGCCTCTACCAGGTCGTGTCCCGCTGCCCCTAAGTGACGCCTTTTCGCGTACGTTAAATGTGTTGTTTTGACGAAAGCCAATGAGAAATTGTTTTTACGCGAGCGATAGTAGTACGGATCCGTAGTGTCTTTGAACGGATTCTTATGGTACATGGATGCAAGATGATTTATAGCGAAATATGCGGTTTTTACGCACCCAACAGGGACTAATGTCGTATTGTCTTGTCAACTGCCCTAGAATAAACTGCGTATTGCTTAAGCTGTGTAAAAACGATTATAATTGCCGGCGCTTATGTTACTCTGTTGAACTCTGACAAAAGATTTCATTCGAAAAAAAAATTTAAAGTTAATTATCGCGAAAACTAACAAGGTCTCACTTAGAACAGCTTCCAGTACCTTTCATCCTTGAGAGTAGCCAATTGAGTCACAATGACAGGATAAGTGGAGCAGAGTTCGGTTAAAATACTATATCCGTGATCTTCATCAACTGAGCAACTAAATTCTATAGTCGGCCAAAACCTATAGGCCTAATCGATCGGCCTAGCAACAATACGCGATCATTCAAATTTATTATAATATAACACTTGGTCTTTAACATATATAACTATGAGTCAGTTAACCTTATTCGCAACCTTGCATCATCGAGTTCGTTGGTCCTTCTAGAAACACGAAGCAAGAACACGGGCATTGCCTGGGACATGACTTGTTCATGTTTCTATATTACTTCACCAGTGTACGGATATTAGTTGGCCTGCATAAACAGTTGTTTATGCAGGTTCTCGCTGCGCTGGCAGAGATCCGCCACCCCATCATAGATTCAATTTCTCGCACCCCGTGATCGCCACAATTTCCATGCTGAGATCATCATCTCAATCACAACATGTGGCATCAATGAAGGGTGTACATCATGATGTGGACACGTTTGCGGACAACTCCTTTAAACCTTTAAATACGAATTGTCCGTATCCTTACATTTTTAGTTTTCCGTGCACGTTTATCCAGGCCGTATTACTTTATACGCCCAGTTACGGCTTCGTAATGCTCTCATTAAACCTATCACGTTGGGAGCTGTTGAAACCAAAAAACACCACAAACTTTAACACATGTATGCGATAATCTATTGAAATTCGGATCTGTATCCGTTAACTAGTATCTGTGAAGTAATAATCGCTGCGATTAAGCATTTCCTCAAAGAGATCTGACTTACCAATAGGTAGAGATCGCAAAGTACGAAAAATGCCTGCTTCTGCGGTCGCTAAAAATAGTGGGAATGATCGTTCCGATCTGATCTTTTTTCACTGCTCGCCTGCATCCGAAAACTTCCTAACAGAAACATTAGCAAAGGCAAAGAAGCCAAAGGAATTTTTCATGGTCCATGATAATAAATGTTGAGAGATAAACTTTATGATATAGTCGTTCGACTCTGGAAGCTTTTCTCGGGGTGGCAACTTGTTCATCGCAAGGGGATTTCGTTTGTCCTGTTAAAGCTTCCGCGTATAGATTGACATTCAAGCACAGAATAATTAAGAAGAGGGAGACTGTTGATACATAACAAGGGCAATTAAGCCGCTGCTGATATTTGGCTAGTTGGCTTAGGCCACTATTTTTGTCGGATATCATCCGAGATTTTTGTTGTACGCGGCACGAACGTCGGTGCACGCATCGTAGTATGGCTCTCCACTTTTCTAGGACAAGAATATCACATTTTTATCGACGCCAAAGGAGGACAGAACGTCGTCGTAATGTGTGCTTGCCTTTTTGGCCGACAACAGAAAATCCATTCAGTTATCAAATACACTTTGAGAGCATCAGCAATTGCCTTCTGGCTATGAAATCGAAAACACAGAATCTAGTTGAGCTCCGCGACCGTAGGACGTAGCAGAAACAGGTTTAGTACGGAAGGTACATTTACATGTCTAGCCAGCCAGACAGCCGGTTCACACCAGAGTAGTAGATTTAATTACTTGCGAATGTCTACCGGTATTCATTTTCCTGCTACTGTTCACTTATAATAACTATTTACTGCTACCGGGAGCTATTATAGGAAATGTAGGGTAATGGTTTGAAATGTATCATTAAATAACGCAATCGTTTAGACGACGACAATGGTGAAGCTGTAACGTTTCGATGGTGGCGTATCTCTCAGTATTATCTAATTAAATAGAAAATTTCGTTTGTACATAAATGTGTGCCATGCCCTGTTCGCAACACGTGTTGCAGCTCTCCAAGATGTAGTCGCTTTGAATCATGTGTTCTATGTAGTCAAGCATGAAACAATATATTTCCAAGAGCAAAGAATTCTACATTTTGACCCGATTCCTAAATGGGCTTCAGAGCATTTTTAGAATTTCGGCGCGACATAAAAAGTAAATATCAGAAATTTCAAGTGATTAAGATATGGTTAGGTAGACAATCACCTGTCATATATGCCAAAACAATAATCGTAATGATACTAAACTAACTGTCATATTATAAACGGTGCTGAAGCCAAAAGAGGAATATCAAACCCCCCTGCCCCATTTAAATGATGCTATGTTATATGCCCCATTTGCCGGCACAGGTGTGTACATAGATGTTCTATTCATGCCTGTTTTTGCTGCCAATGATGTTGTCGTACTTCTTCTGGAAAAAAGAGTGACGGCCTTATAAGGCAGGGGGCGGTAGTGTTTGAAACAACCATTATTTGCCCTATGCTGTATGTGACGACATCCGCAATGTGTTCGTTGTCGCACGAAGCACGCACTCTTCAAGGTGACAGCATAATATGGTATCTTTCACTTTGGCCCGCCACTTGCAATGGGATTGCGCGTCTGCTGGCTAGTAAGTCAGGAACGCTTGTTCTCCACTGTTGTGGTGACGACCACTGCACAATTGGCAAATCGTCGAAAGGCTAGGTGGCCGGAACGCGTCGGAACAGCATTGAAGACGTCGTACAATTGACGAGTCAAAGCTAGGAGATGATATACACGACTGGAAACAGCCGGAAGGAACTTTGTATCCGGGTCAGTTCGTAGTACTCGGCAATGCAGCTTTAGTAGTCGTTCTCACTAGCAGCACTTCGTACTGTTGATGAGAGCTATTCACTTGCTACTTCAGTCACGAATGGGGAAATGAAGCCTGCCATGATATTCCAATGTCCATCTGTCTATACATAGTGCACTTGCTATTGATGGCGCTATCGTTGTGATGGTGGCCGATGTGGCGTGTCAGCGCGCGCTGCTTGATCTGTCAATTTTTGTCGTGGCCGACATCGGGTTAGTCCTTACGCCGAATATTACACGTATTGTTCCCGAACGTTCACCTCGTTTCACCTTAGATTACACATCGCACCTGGCGACGCCTCTTGCCCCCCTCCTATAACTATAGTAACTATAAAAGCCAGCGTGATTCTTGATTTAAGCTTATTGTCTTTTACGGAAACAGCTTGATTAAAACCGCTAGGAAGACGAAACTTTATTTGCTGTTTCAGTGGTAAGGGAGTACTGGGACGCCTCGCAGTGGAACAGTTAAAGTTTTTAACAGAGTGAAAATTATCATAGACCTCAATCTTGATCAAATCAAAATCTTGATGGTCACGTAACTATTTCAATTTGACAGAATAGCTTTAGTACTTCTTTTTTTGTTCAGTTTTGTAGGACCCGTTCTGTTTCTAAGCATTATTGTCGATTACCAGATTAGTTCATCCATAAGAACCGGTTCGAGGCTTTGCTAAATGTCCCCTGCTGCAAAATCGACTTGTTTGCCCCAGTTTAACGTATTTGCCGTGCACTAGATTTCATTTAAACAAATACTGGAAGTTATCCTCTCTTGAGTTGGATAAGCTCTAAATCAATTGTTCACAGCGTTCGTTTATGGCTCAGATCGGCTCTGTTTCTGTACATACAATTTCATTATTGATATGGAAATCCAAGTCACGGAGAACGTCGTTTTTAAGGGGCATTCGTAGCTGTTCGCGACCGCCTCCTATGAAAGCTTCCGCCTACCCAAGTCTTTCTGGCAGATATGACGCAATTGTAAACATTTTAATAAGATTCACCTTTGATGAGTGCGGGTTTGATATTTGTCAAAGAAACCCTACTGTAAACGCATGTTAATAACAAATAGCTTCTTTAAGCGATCCGATCAAATTCTATGAACAATTGGCTATTTTCGCCAATTAAGAGCCAAAAACAATATTTATAATTGCTCGCTTCTTCTTCTTCTTCAGCGGCCTACTGGAGATACCGAAATTTAATCACTGAAATCAGCAACGAAACATCTACATTGATATGCCGCTAGCGTCTCAGGAATCGCTTGGCCAAATGTAGCATTTCGAACGTTCAGTTCCACTAAATGACCTCCTTGTAGTTTGTGCTACAGTATAAGTGGACAGTGTACATTTACAATGTGAAAACTTTTACTACAAAACAACATCATTTATTATCCTATACATGAGACCCACGGTGAGCTTAACAGCTGCAAGTTTCTTAGCTTCGCTCACCCAGTCCTTTACTTTGCTATCATTACTTTAATTAATAGTGCTTCTAAAACTCGTTATCAAACACCCTGAATCTTCGTATCGTGTCTCTTGTTTTCGATAGGAACGTCTTATCTCAGACTAATTTCCATTCGGGCAGTCAAGCAGCCTTCTTAAGATTTACTCACATATAAAGCCAAAAAAAGATTCCGAGCGGAGCGTTCACTTCGAACTCAAGATGAGCAACAGGTATAATTGATAACGTCAAAACCCAGCAGTAACTATGGTGGCATCACGTGACAGTTGCTATAGTGTTGTTGATCGGATGTTTGTGGCGGTCTTTGTATTAAACGCAGTCACGCGACAGGACATCCGGTTACAGTTTTAGAGCACTGAACAGGTGTAATGAGAGTTAGTTGACAATAACTGGCCATGCTGTTTACGTTTCTTGAGCGTCGTTCTCGTTCGACCTCAACTGTGAAACCCTTCTGTTCCGAGGAAAAGTGCTTCGGCAAACAACATGGCAATATTCCATTCCGAGTTTTTTAGAAGTTGGGCGAAGGTGCTACCAATGTAAATCTAGCGAAGATTGACTAAGGGCGTAGGCTACATTTTACTGAGCGTTGAAGAAACATTAGAAGAAAAAAATTTCAAATATGATGTCGAACACCAAGATCGCTAACGGCAACGGCCGCTTACGTCGCAGTGTCTTCGTCTACCTGTCTACTAAAGGCATTTTTTCAAACACGACTAAACTCACTGCACTTTGTCTTAATATTAGTTTATTTATTACCCATATAATGCATCACTTGATTTTGATACAATGCAAAATAACACGCTGATAGAGATTCGTCAAACTCTTATCTTTGTTGTTAATATTACTCGCACAATTATTATTTTATAAAAATGACTAATACTGACGCTTGTTAACCTATACTCACTCTATTCTACGCAAGCAGCATCTAAAGGTGGCACTACAGGTAGGTTTTGACGATCATAATTAAGCATTGGTCATCGATTTTTCCCGTTGGCTAATGATCCGCTCACGATTTATCTTGCAGATTTTCCCGTTTCTACTTAACGCAATATTTTAGGTATGAAACAAAATTCATAGCCGAATCTTTGTTTCTAAATTTGTTGGAAAGGCAACTCTTACATTGTTTATTAGAATTTTTTTTTTGTTATTTGACAAGGTTAGCCTCGTTATGTAGATGCACAGAAAGTTCCTTGTCAACGAGCTGTTTTTGTAGTGATTTTCGATGGTACGTAGTACTGATCAATAAATAACAGCGGCCGTCAGCTTTCCAAAATCCTTCTAACAATATTCAGAAGATAAGCGCTTCTTACCTCCACTGCGCAAACTCAGCAGAGTGCTCACCATCTTCTTGAGTTCACCCATAAATTGATACAACTTGGGCTAAAAGAATGAAAAGTTATAATTTTTAAGCATGCACCAAGACTTAACTGTCTAGTCAGGCTGTCCGGACATGGACAGCCTGACTAGACAGTTAAGTTCGAGTCTCCTTGAGCCGTTTGAAACAAGCCTATCTGTCACTTGTTTATCAGATAAATACAAAAATGTATTTTTTATCCAACCAGAATATGGCCGCTCATTCCTCATATTTGACGTTCTAATCACTTGAAGATATTTGGCTGCCTCTTAAACAGAATGTCCTATTAAATATTAATCGCGTTTAGACATCCATTTTGATGTATTAGGCAATCTGTGATGTGATTAGCAGGATCGTCGTTTTACATCTTTCAGCCTGACTTTTTTCCCTAAAGCCAGCACAAAAGCACATCTTCCTTTAATAATTCCAACGAAGCTTTCGTAAGCTTCCTTCATTGATTAGTCAGAAACAGACATGATGCCTGACCTATTCAGCCACCGAACTATAGAAACCAGAACGAACTGATCCATTCTTAAGCGATCGTTGTCTCGCCTTATAATCTTTTTCTATCTGTCTCCTTGGATTCGCTCCACGTTTGCATTGGTTCTTCTTGGATCATCCATGGTCGCGTCATCTGCCTGCGATCTTCGATACTCAGGCGTACACTTGTCTTCACGTGTGTAGCGATGTTTGCTGTTCACCCACCGTAAGTTGGTTAATACTGTTCCGCTAATAGGCAAGGATAACATCCAGTCTAAGGGTTAACGCCTACGCGCTTGAGGAAACAGCAGCTTTACTTCTAATCTAACCTAAAATTTTATCTCATTGTTTTCTGTTCAGTCAAATCTCCATACCTCAAACAAACTGCAACTAGTCATTACTTCATTGTTCTCGATTGCTTCTCGTTTCCTAGGCGCGGAGTGGCACAACTTATCATAAGGTCAGAGAGAAACGTTAGTGGATGATGTTACCTTTCGTTGGATTTGGATCTTAGTCCTTTTCCAAGCTGTTGTTGGAAATCCCTCCTGATTTATTCCCATTATTCAGTTGTCTAGTAAACATAGTTCATTGGTACCCAGATGGGGCGCCTATCCTTAATGTTGAATCTTTAATTTGCTTCTTTTTTAGAACGTGTATGTGATCTTCCTTGCATTGGTTAAATCATTTAGAGAGCAAATACATTGTTAATTTCCAAAGGCTTAAGCATCTTGGTTCATCCTTTTTTGCTCCTACTTGACTTGGTTCAGCTTTCCTAGTTCATGTTTTTCTTTTTGTATGAACCGTACGATGTGCGCGTACTTATAGGAATATTCGATTTACCATAACTGTACATGCAAACACACTGGATAGAAAACATAGAGTTTTCATGTGTATTTCTAGTCCGCTCATATCTTCATTATTAGGTATCAACCAGGTGCAGATCGGCAAAATGTACTAACGACGTGATCAGTGCTAGAGTATGTAATACTGTCCGACATCCGTGCTCACTCCGTGTCGCACACTCGGGCGTCAGTTTTACAACACATTCACATTATTATTAGTAGACAAGAGGTACAATTGAATGCTTAGGACTGAAGGTGCTGAAGGCAAAGCAGGTGGAGAAGGACACGAAGAGACTTCGAGGTGATGCCGGACAAACCAACCATGCGATTTCATCTGATCACGTTTTCTTACTGATTGTACCACTGTTGTCCTGCGGGTTAATTATGCTCGACTCAACCCAAACAATCAACTTCGTTTCGTCATTCTTCCCTTAACAATTCGCTCCTGCTATTTTCTATCGTTTCGTTTCGTGGTCTCTCAAATTCGTGTGGTAATGTTTTGCTGGTTCATTCGTCGGCGTGCCTGGCCTCAAACTAAAACGAACCAACCAACTTTAAATGGTCACCTGCTTACGCCGCTGCCCAGAGTCGGCGTCGAAAGGATGAAAGTTTCGTAAGTTTTTAGGAGGGTTATTGCACCACGAACACCAGTAAGAGCATCATCACCTATTCCACTTCTTCGGCCTAAATGCACCTCTATGCTGAGGTGGGCGAACTGGAAGCTAGACAAGCTGAGCCATATCCCGGCCAGTTGTGTCTGGGTCTCACCACCCTCGAGCTCGGCTACAGCGTCGACACGCCCACCTCATAGCTGATCGCTAGCATCGATTAGCAACGCCTCGCCTGAGTATCTTTACGCAATGATCTGCTGATCCATCCGTTAATTTGCAGCTGCTGCTAGGCACGATGGTAGCATTGGAGCCATCACGTCCAAGATGCTCGCCACGCACTTGTTTTCTGCTAGAGACCAAACGCCTGCTTTTTCAAGTTGAAAAGGAGGAGTAACTGCAGGTCACGCTACTCCCCGCAGCAAGGACAGTGTGCCCGTATATGTATTCGGCTCGTACTGATTTGGCTACTTGTGCTAGAGACCATGTCAGTGATACTCGTCGAGAGCACGTAGAGCCACCGCGTAAGGTAGTTGAGGTCCACCGCATTCGTTACCAAGCGCTACCTGAATATGACCTGTGTATCGATTATCGACCTAACCCTAAACACGACCAGCACCATTGCCCGATATTTGCAATCAACACACTTAAATATAATAAAGGAAAGAAACAAAGCACAAATGAACATAATCGCTGGTACTGATACCCACAGAGCCACTATTTTATCGCGCTAACGCCAAAAAAACTTGCACCAAGGTATTGTGTAACAAATCCAGACAAACACCATATATTCTCGTCAACCCCATAGTCAAATATAAAGATAAACCATTTGAATGCATTGTAGAAAGATATTTACTGCTTCAAATTTTGTAATCAATCATTTCTTGTATCTGTAGAGATGTCGAACAGTGTATAGCCTAAACTGCTTGCTGACTGATATCAGTAACTAATAGTAATGAGTAACATATACAAATGTCTCGTCGCAGCGCATCTAATCCATGGTATACAAAATATATGCATACGAATTACTGTATTCATGAGCACGGTTTGGTGACGATAGGAAGTAAGTGCACGAACTCGTTCTAATCGTAACTTGACCACAGGCAAGTCGTCGAGTGGACGACCTCTTCGAAGATTTGAAAGATGGCCACAGCCTTCTTTCGCTGCTGGAAGTTCTTTCTGGGGAGTACCTCCAGCGCGAAAAAGGCCGGATGCGATTCCACCAGCTGCAGAACGTCGAGACGGTGCTCAACTTCCTCCGATCGAAGAATGTAAGTACCCCTGTAACTTTTCTCATTTTCTTATGTGGCAAGAATTGGACTACCTGTTTAGCTTGTACTAGTGCTGCTGTTGCTGGTTACGTTCGAAATAAGCTATTTATTTCTACTGATTATTATTATTTTAAAGAAATCATTGTAGCTTTTGCCAAAGCTTTAAATAAACGTAACTGCCCAAATAAAACATAGGTATAATAATAACATGATAGACGACGTCCCTAGGTGAAAACAGTAAACATTCGTCCGGAAGACATCGTCGACGGCAACCCCAAGCTCACCCTCGGACTCATCTGGACCATTATCCTACACTTCCAGGTTAGTGTTGTAACCAATTTCGAAGCTCTTATTACTTATCTGTGTAGTGAAGTCATTAACTTTAGTTAATCTTTTTTTTTTTTTTGTAAAACTTACCATAGTCAAAGTTAGTAAGCGCTGAATGTGATGCAGCTAAAAGGGATTCAAACTGTAGGAAAGAGAAAAGAAACGAGTAAGGACAAACTAAATCGCTTTGCTTCCACATTTTTATACCTTATCTCACAAGAAAAAACTTCCTTAATGAAGTAAAGGTATGGCAATTATCAAATATGTGTATGTAATACTAGAATGTTATCGTCTACGATGATAACTTGCTCAGTTTTGAAGTTTTTATTATTATTACGAAAACATAATATATTGAAAAAGATTGTATATCAGAGTGGAAAGCACTATTTAATACTTCTTCGTGTAGTATTTATATCTGCGCGCCACTACCTTATACATAGCTAGCCCGACTGCCGACAGGTGGCGCCACCATGGTCGGGCTGGGGCCTTTCGACACGCCACAGGGATGGGTGACTATAATAGAATGCTCTATTCGCTATTCGCGTCTGCTGTTTCGGATGGGTGACTGCTTTGTGGGTGGTACCTCCATCGTGGCTATAGGGAGACCGCGCTTTCAGATACTCCGGACACGGACGATCAAGCAGGCGTCGCATACGTTCGATAACAATATCAACCTTCATCTTTCGTTCCGAGTTGTTCAGGTCAATTTAGGGGTTAAGTATACAGCATAGCGTTCTTGTTTTTATTGTTCTCTGCGGCATTTTGTAGTGTTTCGTAGTAAGCTACACGAACAAATCTCTCTCACAAAGCTACGTCAGGTAACCGTATACGTCTTTAAATATCTACTGGTTCGTTAAAAAGCAATAGTGTGTCAGTGTCCGCTCGTTTGCTTCGGAACCGAGATTCGAGATAAATAAGGTCTGAATATATATTGTCACACTTTATAACACCCACATCAGTGCTGGTTGTCCGTTCGCAGTCCATCTGAGCAAATAAAGTTTGCCAATCCGGATTGCAGCAGATCGTACACGCTTTACCTTTATAGACGGGCTACTTCTAACAAATCACTGAACGTAAATTTCAATGAAAAAAAACTATATATCTGTATCTTATCTAGACCAAGTAAAAAATGTGCCATTTAATAGATTAGCGCGCCAATTTCGTCACAGAAATTTAAGCAGTCGACTACAAAAAAGTTTACGCTGTCTTAGGTGTGGTAAATGTACGATAGGCTAATATCGATTTGCGACTCCCGCTACGATACCCGCTAATACTGTAAATAGCCAGCAAAAAAAACTTTTTTCCAGCTTTATCGCTTCTCTTTCTCGCCTTTGTAACATCACATTCAAGCTGGGCAAAAAGAACGTTAAAAATTTTAAGGATTTTACGCGTTATGTCGGAATATTATTATCCTGACGCGGGATCAACCGACCTCCACGAACTGCAAAGAAGCCCTTCAAATCAGTCGGATTGACTGATCAACAACAGCGACAGACGCCGTTCCTCGATAATTTTGGTTGACACTAAGCTGATTCACCGCTTCATGATACCGCAGTGATCGTTCGGACTCAACCACGGTCATGGTGCGAGCTCATGGTAAAAGTGCTACGATATTGGCGATCTATATATATCGATGGCATTATACGCTAATGCAGCTATGTAAAAACGCATAACTGTAAGGCTCTATAACAGAGAAAAAAAGTCCCCTCTTTACGTGTCTTGCCACTATTACTGCTGTAGCTAGTGTCCGTTCCTCTATGTGGATCCTTGTATGTATGTACTGCATTAATGGCGGTAGCCAACACGCGACAAGTAGCGCCGACGGCGACAAAACAACAGCAATGACGACATCGCTTCTAGCCGATTAAGGCCCGCTATATTTGTGGGAGTTTCCTTTTACAGACAGCGCCATCACACATCTGGTGATACATCAGCTCTACCGCAAACACGATCACGGCGCAGGCGTGATCTCCTACTTGACGACGACCTCAATTGACGTCGGATCAACAGCCGACGATAGCAGTAACGGCTATCTGTACTTGTGATTGTAGTAAATAAACGGCAATATCTCACGTGTGTGGGAGTTCTTTTACCGTGTCCTCTCCGCTGCCAAGACCCGTCCATTTACTTGTCCGCGCATTCGGCTATGCAACGATGACAACAACGCGCCGTAAATGAACGAGCGGATATTACGAACAGAAGCAACGACACCAACAATAACAACGACGCGGTTACAGCAAACACAGCAGCAGCACGCATGAATGAACAATGCACGGTGGTTGTGCACGTATATGTACGTGCGCACATATTCACATAGGAACTGGTTGACTGGATGAAATGATGGAAACTAAATCTGGACGAAAATTACGACCGCAACCACTACCCCTACTTCTAAATACGGCAAGGGACCTGATGATAATGATTTTGGTTACCGTCATGCTAATGAAAATGATGATTATAATCAAAATCCTGTATGTGTAGAAGAAACGGCGGAAGCAAACCATTTTTAATCTGTCCGTATCTGTCTATCTCTTTGCTTATCGGCCTCTCATTTGTACATTTCCGGGGAAATAAATGGTAAGCATAGCTGCAGATACAGCCGCCATTAGTGTTTCTATTGCTACTTGCCCTGTTTTGTCGCATACTAACATATATGTATGGTAGTTAGTTTGAATGCATTATAGGTGTGGGAACTTGCGGTTTCAGTGGTAAGGTCTGTTGGCTAAAGCGAACATTTCGTCATATTTTTTAAACGAAAATATGCTTTAGAGCTACGCGTGCTCGATGGTCATATATAATCTCTCAAACTAGATAAACGTTTTCTTATTCTGTCGCATCTCTATTTTTTTTGGGCTATTTAGATAACTTTTCTGTATGTTGTACGTAAAATATACAGTCGGAGTCGATTCATCTGTTACACCTGCCCACAGTCGTGCCATAAGGAATAACGATTTTAAAAACGGCGTCCAGGACATGACGAGTTGGAGTAACAGCTATCCTGTGGGTATACGCTGATAGACCCCTGCGAATGGAAGAGCAGGAAAAGCACGTTGTCTGTTTGGGTGCGTGCGTACGTGCATAGGGGTCGATCTTTAAATAATCGTGACATTCGTTAGCACGACATGTCTAGGGTAGCCGGCGGGTACTCACTGGGCCAGTGTGTGATGCGGTCACTTAGAAATGAAGGTTTACAAAAGCATACCATTAATCTAGGCATTAAAAAATTGAGATGTATTCAGACGATGATCGAGTGGGAAGAGTTGAGTCTAAAAAGCCGGCGTATCCCTGGCAATATTTCATATATTTTGTACGAGACGGTGCGTACAGAGTACTTGAGTGGTTTGTTTCAGTTTGATGTAGGAAATCTAAATGCGTGCTAATATAGCATGGCCGAACATTGTCCGTACTTCCTGCTCGGCAAAACGAATCCAGCTTTAGCTACCAACGCGAAACAATGTTGAAGTGATGCATAACATTCATAGACTGTGCCTCCGCCGCATGCTGGCCGAAAATAATTATCTATGTGGCTCTGCTGAGTTTGTATCGTAGTAGTCATTATATACCCGTGCTACAATATGTGCTATATACATATAAGTGCAAGTGCTACCGAAACCGCCTATGTATCGGCTGTGGGCTACCTGATTCTATTTTCATAATTTTAATGGCCACATTAAATGAAATCTAACTTTGCCAATGCGAACTTGTCCAAGCGCCCGCGTCTTGATACCACGTTACCCCGAGGGGTTACTGAACTGGGAAGGAGGGGGGCGTAGGCTGCATGACTAAACGTGCGTGTTTTTAGTATACGAAAGAAAAGCCACACGGCCACCACTGATTCAAATCTCACAACCAGCAAACTGATTACTATAGATATATATATCAATAACACAAACTATGACTACAAAAAGTAAAAAGTTCAGGCTAATGGATACAAACGGGCACCTTGTATGATCACAACGCCGCCTCATAGGTCTGTTGGGGAAACCCCAGATGAGTCTAGGCAGACCCACCCCGGCTGATTCCTCGTAAAGACAAGTTGTGACAAGAAATTGAAAAGGCAATTGCGAAGACCTGCCCACACAGATGGAATAGTCGAGGTTGAAACCAGAAAAAAAAACAACAGAATATCAAGATATTGCCATACGATGCGTCGGTTTCCCTGTCCTTCCGCTACGAAATTCCGATCCGAAAATGCCCATGATGAGTTTTGTCCAATGAAAAAAATGTACTGATACCGGCTGAACGAGCCGCTGATTAGACATGAAATCGACGCATCCTCCTCTTCATCGTCATTGTCGCGTTCGTTGTCTGATTTTACCGAGTGCCCGGTCTCGCTTGACGCACGTTCGTCACATTTTAGCGGCAGATTAGAACATTAACCTCGTACAGTACGCTAGGCGTGTCGAATGGGTGATCACGGACCTATGCGTTACCTTTCTTTTCGGTCTCTATCCACTCGACTATCGGTCTGACCGACCGACCGACCGACGACGACGGCTAGATAGCGGCGTGTATAGGTCGTTATCTACTAAGAAGTAACAATATGATAATGGCAAAGTGGAGTGGGGAAATACAGCAACAGGAAACAGAAAATCTGGTGAAGGAAAAACAACGGGAAAGAGCGACCGAGACACATAATTCTAATTAACTATAAAGGGTAAAATGTAAATTCTTTTTTTTTTTTTTTTTTCTATAGATCGCATACTTTCTTTCATGGGTCCACCATTACGTAGATGGATTATTCGTTTTTTTTTTTCGTATGCTTATAGCTAATGTCTGGGTTGTATATGTGTATGTGGTTATCTATCGCCTGCAGTATAATAACTTAAAGCACGATTTCACGCTTGAACAAATAAAGAAACACAGAAAAAATGATTTGCTGTAATTGCCTCTGATGGTTGGACGGTTTCACTGAACTAGTGATTCGATGGGGTGTCATCAGGTCCAGGAGTCGGTATCGTTCAAGTCGTCCTGACACGCAATGGATTGCTTCA